GTCTCGATCGCCACGTCACACCTCCTCATTTTAGCATTTTTTGTCACACTATTCAATCATATTTTTAAATAAACAATATAGTTGAGACGTGATTTTTTTTTTTTGTAATCCTCGTCAGTCGTCGTAATCATAGCGTTTATTTATTTATTATGGGTATGGAATACAATCTTTGCTTTTCTATTTTTTTCTCTTTAAACTTTTCATAAATTTCTATTTTGCCATTCAATTTTTTGTGTGCTAGTGGAATGGTGTACGTGTCAAAATGTTTATTGGGAGGAGTTATCTATAATAGAAGTGGTTTGCACAATGAAATAGTGCATCTATTTATATATAGGTCTAAACTATGGTTATGCGTTTATATGCAGGGAACTATATATGAAGGAGATTCTTTGTTTTCCTATTTTACCTTTTAAATGTTTTCTGAATTTATGAATTTCTATTTTGTCTTTTATAGGGGTAAATGTGTGTGTGTGCGCTTTTTTTAAATAAAAGTGAAAAAAGATGTCAAAAATAAAAGTGAAAAAAGATGTCAAAAATATTAAATATTCTTTTTAAAATAATAAATTGTCAAAAACAAGATTGGATCCTTAGAAAAAAAAATCAATTTAATTAGTCTCTGCTTATTCATATAGTCTAATCTTATGTTTAACATCAAGAAAATTGAAGAAATGATTTTAAATTCTTCATCTTATTTGAAACGAATTAAATTAAATTAATTTATTTTGATATTTGCGGAAAAAAAAAATTCGATGATTCAGATTTTTAATATGAATTTATTAATTAGAAATTAAAATAGCATGGCTTAAATAGGTAATTTCGTTTATGCAAAATTCAATCATTTTGGAAAAAAGGATTTGAAATAATCATGTGGTATCAATTCGTTATAATTTTGAATTCCTTTAACATCCTAGATACCAAACAGAGAATAAATAAAGAGAAGAAGATTGAAAATGAAAGGAGGAGAGTTACAGATTTTGAAGGGCGTACTCTTTAACGGTGGAAGCAACGACGATTTCGTTTTTATTTTCCCAACTGGAAGCGAAGTGATTGTGGGCAATGGTGTCCATGACTCCAACATAGCGCTGAAGCGCTTCGGGTTTGATGAACTGCGGGAGCAGGCTCTTGGTTCTCTTGGCTTCGTCGTTGGTGTTGATCTTAATGGTGGATGGGAAAACTTTGTTGGCGGATTCCGGCCACCACGGCGTCACCAGCTTCTGCTCGTTCGAGAACAGCAGCTTGTTCCCGGCCGCCGTGCAGAACGCCGCCGTCGGCTCCCCCAGCACCGACGTCGTGAACACCTCCGTCTTGTGCCTCGCGACGCGCCCGAATATGAAATTCTCCGGCTGCCCCTTCTGCTCGTGGGCCACCATTTCCAGAGTCTCCCCGATTATCGGGTACCCGATGCTGCCCGGCGGCGTGTTCGGGTACGCGAACTGTGCCCGGTGCCGGTAGAATAGAATCAACACAGCTACACAAGGAAACGACACCAATAGAATTAACAGAGACAGAAACAGATTCTCCATTTTTCTGTATTTTTTTTTTATTTTTTCCGTTTCCTGCCCCGAAATTTGAAGCCGCGTGGCTTTTAAAGGCCGAGGCTCGGAGGCGAGGGCCGACCAGAGAGTAATAAATAACACTTTCACTTTTCTTAAAATAATTTTAAAATCTCCTCTGAATTGAGGTACTACGAGATTCCTCGTGACCAATCAAGAAGAAAGGAAATTTTTTTCTAATATAGATGCACGCATACCTTCTAAATTATTATTATTATTTTATGGAAATGAAGACAATAGTTGAAGGTTACTGTCAACCTTGCCAAAATAAATTTAGTTCAACGATAGTTAATATATATCCTTAACTAAGAGTCCTCACATATTGTATATCAAAAAAAAAAAATCATTGCCAACATCAGCTTAACTCGGTGGTAATTGACATTTCTCTCTGACCAAGAAGTTATGAGTTCAAATCCGTCACCCCCAACTGTTCTACTAAAAATGTCTAAAGTCACTTCTAGTACAATATTATTGGAGATTTAAGGTGATAGCAATAGTATAGTTATGAAAATGTAAGTAAGTTTTCTTAAAAATTGTGAGTTTAAGTTTTTATATCTAGGAAAAATATTGAATATATATTTTGAATTCATAATCTCTTAATTGGTTGGACATATGTGTCAATTATCATTATGCTTATTTATATATAGAATATCTAATAGTGTTTTATGTATAATAGTCCACTCTAAACTCATGTTGGCAACAACTTATTATTTTAAAATATATATATATATATATTTGGATCAAACTGTTGATGCGTGGATTTCGGTCCTCCGGTTCACTACCTCGCATCCACCAAACTTGTTGATCCGGGACTAGTACCTGCAAAAACAAATCGAGCTAAATCGGTGTGACTCTAGTCACACGGGCTCCGATGCTTAAGTTAGCAAGAGAATAACGTAAATGTAGTCAACTTTCTTCCCCCTATACCTCTAAGGCTGGATCAATACTTATAGCGTGAAGTTGTTCCAGAATCTTCCGTAGCTAACCCTAATTCACCGTTGCAGGGCCTGGGCGACATCGTCGATCGAAGACGGGGATCACTGGCTGGGCCGTGGGCCGAGCCCCGGGTCGGGGCCGAGCACCGGGTCGGGGTCGAGCCCTTCGTGGCTCAGTGGGCTTCCCTCTGGTCACTTTCCTCGTTCTCTGCCCCGGCGTTAGGTCACTCTTTTGGCCGGCCCGTTATGTCCTGGGCCGGTCTTCCCCAATCAGACTTCAACTCCTTGTCTCGTTTCGGGTCATTTTCGTTCTCCATAACACAAACATTTAAGGATGATCAGGATAAGATAGGTGTTCTTAATAATCTAACTATTTTCCCATAATGATAGATCTAACTTTTTTCTTTGTTTGAGTTCAGCAACGACTACAAAATGATAAATCTGACCATTTTGAAGCTTGAGACTTGCAAATATTGATTTTACAATATGATGAGTTTTTTTTCTTTCTTTCCCAGAACTGCTTTATGAGGTTTTAGATCTCACATATTTAATTAAGATCGAAATCGGGGATGAAGGAACATTTATCTCTTAATTCTTTAAAATGGGATTCATTTGATAACTTTCTCCTTTCTAGTTTTTTAGAAACATAAATATAGTAATTATTCATTGTTTTTATGAATGTTTCAAAACTTAGTGTACAAATTTTAGAAACACAAAAATCATGAATCTTATTTCTGTTTACAGTTTCTTTCAAAACATATATAAACATTATTTTTATTGTTATTGATTTATTAGTGCACAACAAATATTTAAAAAATCTGATAAAAAAAACAAATATTTAAAAAATAAATATAGCATAACAACTTTCAATATTTAATTTAAAAATTAATTTTCAATAAAACTTTTATTTTTTATATTTAAAATTGTAACGAACTTGAGACAAATCATAATAGTTACCGAATACATTTCTTTATTTTTATTTTTTTTAAAGATGAACAAGAAACACTAAATATTTATCAAATGTATTTTATTTTCCTAATTTATTAAATAAGAGAAAACGAAAACAATAAATAAGAAACGGAAAACTTAGGACCCGTTTGGTAAGGTTCTCGCTTTTTGTTAATTTTTAATAAAGAAAAATATAATTGTATGACCCCAATCATATAAATTCAAGAATGATAAAATAATATTTATATTTATGTTTTACACCAAATTGAAAATTGAAAATCAAAACAGAAACAAGAAACTTGTTTTCATTGTTTCCAAAATTTCTATATAATTTTAAGAAAATGTTTCAAAAAATGAGAAACAAAAAACATATTAGTTGCAAAATACTTAGAATATAAATGTAAACTCCATGAATTTAAGTTTGTGATATTTTTTAGTGAGCATAGTCTAAACTAAACACATTGCATCTAATGTAAAGTTTACTTCTAATATTATTTAACTATATATTATAATAGATCGACATAAATAATAAACCATGCAAAAGCGAAGTTATTAAATAATATAACCAAATCAAGGTGTGATTAAAATAGTAAATTTTTTTGAGAAAGTACAAAAACAACAATTTATTAAAGAAATGAGCGGAAACAATCCAGGCATGCTTTTCACGTTTCCAAAAATTGAGAGCAGTGGGCTTGTGTGTTTTTTTTGGCTAGAAATGTAGTGCTTGACATGTGAAAAACATGGTTCTGTTTTTAGGGGGGAAAAACCTGGTTTTCAAATCGACATCACTAGTTTTATTATTATTATTTTTTATTCTTCTTTTAAGATTAAGGTTTTTTTAGTAGAACGCGGAGATATGAGAATTAGAACTCGATCTTTTGGTCAAAGATACGTGCATTAAATAGAGTTATCTTCATGTTAGCAACATCACTAATTTTAAAATATTTTTTAGGTTTTTATTAATATAATTAAGATAAAAAATTCTCAGTTGAATTATGACCCATCAAATTGTAGAAATTTATTTATTAACGCGTTGAACCATGATATAGATCAATGTTGGAAAATTTAACACACACTTATAAATCCAAAAAAATTATGGTTTTAGACCAATACACTCTAAGGTCCAAATAAGATAAATGACTCAATTGAGAAATAGCAAAAAGTACCTCGTGCCTCAAACATCTCTTCTTATTTACATAGTAAGTCTCATCGAGTTGGTTTAGATAGACCCATTCGACATGGTTGACTTGGTTCGATCTGGTAGGGTTGGGTATCGTATGTTCTAGTTGGGTGGTCTAAGCTCGATAGACTTGATCCCAACGATTCAACTCGAATTCATAATTTGATTGTAAAATAAAATCTATTTACAAAGTTAAATTAACTAATAATGATGATGAATTAGAATGTTCACCTGATTAAGACATATAGTATCATAGGTTTGAATCCTCGACCCAAAATATTATTGAATTTGAAAAAAAAAATGATTCATCATAATGAGTGCAACATAATTTAACTAGATAATGTATTAGGCTCCACAAAAATAATATACTTAAATAAATTTAGAGATTCGAGCTCCTTTCTGTAAATTTAAGATTAAAATAATCATCGGCTGACTGATATAATAGTAATCAATATATTTTTTATTCTAAAAAAAGTAATCAATATATTTTATTTGATATGATAGTGATTGATTAATATAAATGGATGATTACCCTATACATAATAACTAATTTACTTATACGTTGATGCTTTTCTTTTATTTAACTTATATTTTGATGCTGTTATAATTACAACTGTATTCTTGCAATATCTCATTAAATTTGTACATAGATACATATATATATTGGTAAATTTGTACTAAATTTGCGGCTAAAAGTTTAAACTAAACCGAAATTATTCCATCAACTTCAACTTGAGCATAGCTCAACGGGATAAGATACCTATATCCGACCCGAAGATCGTGAGTTCGAACCCTCCCGACATGTTTACTTAAAAAAAAAAAAGAAATTATTCCACCAACAATCATATTAATGGGCTCTACCAAGGGCGTCTTTTTTATTGGGCTGAGCTGGGCTTGAAGCTTACTTTCCTCGGCCCAAAACGAGCGACGTGAGTAAGTTCAGGCCTAGTCCTTCCAGCTGGACCAACATGGGCCTGTCCATTTTCATCTGCTCAACTGCAACATATTACGTGGATTTTACAGTCTCGTCGTTGCTGCGGCGGCGGCTGCACCTGCAACTGCAATACGGTCCCGGTCGTCCTCTCAGAGCGGTGGTTATGATACCAAATCCGAGGGCTAGACTTGTATCAAGTGCCGATTTCGGTTGCAAGTTTCTGATGGAGAATCGAGCTCCGCAAAAGGATTATCTCCATTACAATCACACTGATCGCTGCAGAAATGCTAGATGGACCGCCAGGTTTTTCTTTCGTCCATCTACGTTATCCGCCAGTTTGTTTGATTTGAGATTTCTTTTGAAGTGTTTCGACTAAAATTCTGTTGCGATGAGAACTTCGCTTTTTTTTTTTTGTAGTAATTAAATCTGAATATGAGAAGGCTATCGATCAAGCTGTTCTTATGCTTTTGTGCAGGGAAAGCTACCAACTCATGTATGGAAGGCCGTGGCAAGAAGTGCTTGATTTTTATTTTCATGCTGTTAATGGAAGATTCTCTCCGTCCTCATTGTTTGGAACTGAGGTGAAGGTGAGTCTCCAATATCAACGTTTTCTTTAAACTTCTTTCTTCTTTCTGTATAAAGCAACAGCAATGTGAACCAGGACTATGTTTAATGCCACTTTCATTATAATGTTCTAACCGCGTTGGATAAGTTTTAACTACCTGGTGATATTAGTTTCTAGGGTTACTTTCTTTTGCTTCAAGCAAAGCAGTCCGAAGAGTAGTTTAAAACATTTATATGTCTTCTTTTTGCAATCAAGTTAGTAGAAAATAGAGAGGATAATTCATTTGTAGTACGGCTTCCTAAATCCTAAGGAATCGTATTTCTTTTTGTTCACATTATCTGGTCTTTAAAATAATGCTTGCCATCTAATACTTTCAATCGCTGTCACATTTTCCAGTGTGTGTTTGTTCTGAGTTTCGCTTGGATTTGGAGTTCTATTTAATCAATCATGTGCTACCAATTGTTTTATTTGATTAGTTGATCATAATCATTTTTTAAATATTGTTTTATTGGTTGATTAGAATTAGGAGAAATGAGTATGAAAATTTTGTTCCATAATTATCTTTCAGCACGAAAGAAGAAGGTATCATTGATTTATTTATTTATTGTGTATAGTACTTCATCCGCAGACAGTTCATGATCATAATGATGCTGAGATTCCATTGATTTACAACACATCAGAGTTAAATAGAGCTTCAGTTAAAGATAAGACTGGGAGGTGGGCAAGGGCAACATTTAAGATTGTTCTCTCCTACCATGGAAATTCTTTTGATGGATGGCAAAAGCAGCCAGGCTTGAATACTGTTCAAGGGTAAGCTTGTTTCCTGAAACCACATGCACAAGTAATAAACATATACAATTGGAAGATTTTGAAGCTAGCGTTGTTCTTTTTAGTTTTTATTATAAAGTCTTTTAAATTGAAGAACCGATAAGTATTTGCAAGTGTTAAAAAAAGTTTGAGAAGTCAGTACTAGAGATACAATTGAATATCCCATACCTCCATTTCGAGTGAAACTTTCCTCTTGAGGACAATGTCCAGATTAGATCAATTGACCATATTAATCTCACCTTTCATGTATCTCCTTCCAGTAGTAGTATAACAGCTTCAAGTAATATCTTAATATCTTTTGATGTATAAATAGTTCGATTTCAGTCTAGAGATGGCAAAGACTCCTGTATATTGGAGGATCACGTCTATTTGCATGGATATCTGCTACTCTTTTTATTAAATTACTTTTGCATTGCCTCACATATCCTTCGGCAGTTTGGTAGAAAAATCTCTTGGGAAATTTGTAGATGAGAAGAAAGCTCAGCTGCTGAAAGATAGATGCTTACCACTAGAAGGATGTGCTGTGGTTGCTGGGCGCACTGACAAAGGGGTGACAGCTCTGCGACAAGTTTGCTCATTCTGTATGTTAAATTTTTAAATCTTCGTTGACATGATTTTGTGCTTGTTTAGATATTTAATTCCACAACTTTGCTTTATTTTTCTTAGATTCTATCTCTAAATAAAAAACGAACTCTTAGATTACAATAAATTTTATCTATTTATATTATTTCTCGACAACTCTGATAGTTGCTGATGGATAACCATTAATTGCTTTGTCTCATCCGTTTGATATAAACTCCACTTTTGCGGTGCTTCACTAAAACACTCAAATTGATAACTCTGTTCCAACTGCTCTATACCCAAAGAATTGAAAGGTACGCTCAAAATACTTCTTAAAAGTGAGCAGTATTAAAACAGGAGTGGTGCATAGTCTATGTTTAATGTTATATAACTCGTTTCTTGATTAAAACCTCATAATTTTTTTCCTTTTAAATAATCAGTGGGAGGTGCAACACTGGAATTAAATCCAGGAAGGAAATTCCGATAAAAAGTAGCCAGAGTAAGATTTTTAATTTTTAAAATTTTAATTTTTAATATGAAACCATGCTTTGATTGAGAAAAATGAAAAGAAGAAAAACAAACAGCCCAGAGGACGACTACTACAAAAAAGGCTTAAATCCAAAAGAATAACACCTGACTGATAATTACAAAAGGCCCTGCCAAACCCCACTAGGAAGTATTAAACCTAAAGATTCCAAACAAACTCCACGGATCTCTCCACCCCTAAAAGTTATATTGTTGATAATTACAAAAGGCCCTAAAACCCCACTAGGAAGTATTAAACCTAATAAGATCCCAAACAAACTCCATGGATTTCTCCACCCCTAAAAGTTGTATTGTTCCTCTCCGGTCAAATACCTCATAAAGTAGCCAAAAACTTTGTACAACACCCACTGTATCTTAATTAGGCCAATCTTTAGGAGCTTATTGTTTAGAAGGTTTGACCTAGATACCCATCACTGATGATCAATTCAAGTAGTTCTGCAGCATGGAACTTGGAGTGCATTTCTTTATACCCTTTGCAGAAATCCTTATCTGATGCTATATGAAAAGGAAAGTTGGCATAGAAGATTAAATTTTCTCAATGCCAATAATAGAATTCAAGCCGGACATCCAAACTACTTGGACATTTGATGTACAAGGCTATGTTTTATTTTTTCTTTCGACACATTTGTCTCCAGACCATAGTTTTTTTACAATACTTATAACCCTTTATGTTAACTTCTGAATCTTGTCTGAACTGCGTTTCTTTTGGTTTGAGTTCTTTAACATAAATATATGTTATATGTTTCCTTATTAAGAAAAATGCAATTACAACATACCTTTGCTTTTATTTCTTCCACAAAAGTATTTGAGTTATTGCTATTTCTTTCCATCTTTTGTGTCAAATTTCCTTCGGAGGTGAACAGTTCTGTATCTCTTTCTGACTTCATCCACTTTATTTTTATTATTATTTTCTAATTTTAGAGAACCAATATCTGAATTCATTTAAACTCACATCACTTGTAGATACTTGGCGCACGGATGTTAAACCTCTAGACATTGAAGATTCGATCAATAGTGCAGCTCCCAGAAAACTCAGAGTCTTGTCTGTTTCTCAGGTAACATGCTGGTTTTCCATGAAATGTGGCATTGTAAATGAATGTGGTTCCACTGTCTAGCTCTAATATTGTTGCAGAATAACTTGGTGTTTATTTAACTTTCAATTTTGCTTGTCTCTCTCTTTCAAATACATGTAACTGCTCAATAACTTACTCCTGTAGGTGTCTCGTAACTTCCACCCAAATTTTTCTGCTAAATGGAGGCGATATCTGTATATTTTCCCTCTCAAAGATGGAGAGAATATGGAACCAGATTTCGCAATTGGAGAAGACGCAGAAAACTGTAGAGAAGAGGAAAATTATAATAAAATTGAAGCCTTGAATGGTGAATTCAAGGATGAGATTCTGGATAACTTGGTCCTCAGTCAAAATGAGGAGCTTGCATCAGATGATAAGCCTCAAACATTTAGTGTAAGGAGGGTTAACCGACTACTAAGGAAACTAGAAGGAAAGTTATTGTCATACAAGATGTTTGCACGTGACACCAAAGCATCAAGAAATGAGTGAGAACCATAAATTGAATCAACTATTGGCATTTTTTGTAGTTACTATAGCTTCTAGTTTGAGTATCATTATTAATTAGTTTTACTTTTGTTTCAATAATATTTATTATTTAATCCATTCTAATAAAAAAAATATTTGTTTTTAATTCTTATTGACTGTAAATCTTATTCAGTTGAATATAAGTTATTTCTTGGATTTTCTATTTACTAATAGCTTTCGATCAGAAATTTATGTAGATTTCATTGACTCATGTATGTCAAACTTTTGTTTTGCAATTGCGTTGCGTGTTTGACCGTGCCTTCCAATCAATATAAGTTTGACCTTGCTCTTTCTCCTGGCATGTATGGAGGTTTCTTCTAGTAACTTTTGACTTCATCGGTGTCTTCCCTTGATTCTTAAAGATTTGCTTCTGCTTCTATGGGGTCAATTCATTCAAAAAGAAAGCCGAGACTCATGGAGGTTATTTTTTCTTGGAAAATTTGGCTTGAAAGAAATAGGGGCAGTGTTCTCAGGAGTTGAGAAATGTTTAGAGGTTATTTGGGAGCTCATATTTTCCAATTCATTTTAGAGTACTAGCATTACAATTTCTGATCATTAAGTCTATCAAGCGTTTTCCTTCTATTCATTAGTCACTTTTTTGAATTTTTTTAGAATCTGTTTATAGGAAGGTGAAAATGGATGAATCCCATCTCTGCTATTTTCTAGGACCTGTGGATAGAAAGGAACAGCAGGTTTTTCTCGAGTAAAAATAAGGAAAAGTAGGAGACATGGTCAATGACAAAGTTAAGCATCAACTTGATATGCTTTGTTCAAGCCTGTGTACTTACCCACCTAATGAAGTCGACTCTTCCTTTTAACAGTTTTTTTAGGTCCTTCATTGGGGCTTCTGTCTCCCCTTTTGTACTTTTCATCATATCGATTTCTTTTGATTGTAGATATGATTAGGATAGCTAGTCTGAAGGCTGACTAAACAAAGTCAGTTATAAAGTTTACAAGTCAACTTTTCATTGATGTGATTGATGTGCTTGCTCGTATCTTTTTTCCTCCAACTGTCTTATCAACGACAGGATGATGTTCAGAACTTTCTGACGTGTACTAATGGCAACTATCCTCCTTTGCAGAGGTCCACCTACCGAGTGTTTTCTTTACCATGCACGAGCAGTGGAAGCTAGACTACCATGCTTGGTATTTTCTTACTTATGGTCATCTTCACGTTCTCCTTTTCTTTGATTATCTTTTTCCCTTTTATACTCCTCCCCTTGTTAAAATGAATTTGCAGAGTTGTAACATGTGATTTGCATTGTGTTTTCTACTGGGTCAGAACGTAGAGAACAGAAGATGAATATGTTAAAAAGTGAGTGTGAACCGATGAAATGTAGAAGAAATTTACTTTGACATTATGTCATCAATGTGAACTCGTGAAGTACTTTAAAGAAAACTAGTTGTAGCATGTGCTCGATTCAATGCAGTTTCAGATTTTATTGACAATGGTTGCTCTCTCTTCTCTCAATATCTAAAATTGGATAACCTAAAAAATTTCAAAGATCATCTTTGAGTCTGAACCTCAACTTGGGAACAATGTGAACTTTAAGTAGAGTGCTTAATTGTTTATTTGGACTGATCTGTGGAACCTATGCTGCAACAGATGCACAAGTCCAAACTATATTGAACCAATATGAAGTTTATAATACGTTATAGAAATTATTGTAATAGAGATTAGGGTTTTGATTCTATGCTAGAAAAGCCAGGTTTTCAGCAAAACTACATCCCCCACAACTTGCGTGAGTGACATGCTTTTGAATGCAGCTACTCCAAATTTAGGTATCTGAATTAGTGGCGGTGTTGTATTTACAGGATCAAGGAGTAGGAAGAAGTGTTATGTGTGTTGAGCTGGTCGCTAATCGCTTCTTGCGAAAGGTATCATCTCCAGGCACCTATGCTAAAGAGTATATTGTACTGAACATAAAATTTGTTTATTTATATCAAAATCTTTCATTCCAACTGCTTAAACTTGAGAGCTAGCATCTTATATGTCAGAAAAGGAATTTCCCCAGTCTTAACAGCGTGATTAACCATAAGGCCGTGTGCAAATGAAATTGCTCTTTCATGTTTTTATGGCATTATTATGTCCTGTTGAATCCTTGATCTTTAGCAGTTTAACCAATCATAAAAGGATCGAATCATGACCTTGTAGATGGTGCGGGTGCTTGTTGCGACAGCAATCAGGGAGGTAGCTGCTGGTGCAGGAGAGGATGCATTATTAAGGCTGATGGATGCCACATGTCGACGTGCCACCGCACCTCCTGCGCCTCCTGATGGCCTCAGTCTTGTCGATGTAGGTTACTCAGAATTTGATCCACAAAACTGCTTCATTTTAAACGACTGATATTTTTTCCCCTGGCTATTTCTGACCCATTTGATTGTTGTTGTAATCTAAGTACCTTCTAAATTTCTACAATTATAGATATAGTTATTGAATAGTGTTAGGAGAAATGTTCTGTTGAGAGTTTGAAAGTTAGTGTGCATTTTATCACTTTTTAGGTGTTTGTATGAGGTTGGGGCTCATTTTTCTACCAATTTACAACTATTTAAGAGCGTGTTTGAGAGTCATTTTACTTTTGTCGTCAAAACGACTTTCATTTGAAATGATGATGTTTGGCAAGTAATTTTGGAAGGATTACTTGCGGGATATTGCTGACATGAGCCTTACAAACTTCTAAATTGGAACTATGTGTTTGGGTATGTGTTTTGTATGGTAAAAATCATTTTTATCATTGTCAAAATCATTTTTTTTTTGTATTTATCATGTTTGAAAGATAAAAAAATTTTGATTTTAGTAAAATTAAAAATGATTTTAAATTGATTTCTAAAGTATCACTGGATTGTAATTTGAAAAATCAATTACACTTAAATTTCTTGTTTTCAAAATAACTCATTCTACCAATAAATAATTAAGGAAAAGAAATATAAATAATTCCTTTGCAAAAAATATATAAGTAATTATTTGGTTATATCATAGACATTATTATTTTTTAAAATTTCATGTATTGTTTATGATTTAATATTTAACCATGATATTTATGTAAGTTCATTTAGTTCGTATAATTCATATTAGTTATATAACCTTTCAAAATTTTATAGATTGAAATCTTCCGCTGTGGGGGTGAATTTTTTATTTCTATTTATATGTATCATGTTTTTTTAATCATAATTATTTAATAAACAGTGTTAAAAAATAGTGTTAAATAATTTTTTGAATATAGTAATTCGATGATCATAAAATAAAATCACTCAAAAGATTCAATTATATGAAAATCACCTGTAAAATTTTCACATATACTTTCACATATGTAACAAAATATTAAAATATTCTAAAATCACTTTCAAATATGTTTTAAAAGTTAAAAGTTAAAAGTAAGATTGTACACAGATGATTAAAAACAATAAAAACAAAAGTATTATAATTATTATTATTATTTGTTTGTGTTATTTACTTTATGTGGAGTTTACAATTGGGGAGCACAAATGAGTTCCAAACGAAAACGAATTGTTTAGTGAAGTTGTTTGAATTAATGATACAGCTCTATGCCTTTTACTAATCTACCGCAGT